CGTGTGAATGTCAAAGGGAGCATTGATGGGCGGGGTTTGGAGGAGAGCATTGAGGGCGGGACTTAGGGAGGAGCCTGTGAGTGGGAAGGGTTGAGATGGGGGACCTTTTGGGGGTGGAGCCTGAGGATGGAGTCGTGTCCTGGGATTAGATGGCGTATAGGAGGCGGGGCTATATCCAGTGGGAGGACTCCTAGGGATTGCTTTGGTGTCATTAGGGGGCGGAGACTGAAGGGGCGGAGCCTCAGAGGGCTCGTGGTCTTGAGGGTTGGGAAGGTGACCCTGAAAGATGTGGTGGTGGAGGGGGTGAAGGATACCCATGTTGGGAGAAGGGACAATTCCGCAAGGATCGGCCTGGCACGTCTCAAATGTCGAAGGGAGTATTTTGAGGGAGAAATACCGACAACGGTGTTAATTTCAAGACCTCCAAATCCCCCCACTTTGGATTGGAGAGTAATTGAAGAAGTGTATTCAACAAATGTGGATTGAGCGCTTCTGTGGACTGCGTGTACAGGGCAGACCTGCAAAGTGTTCTGGAGGGTGTAGTTTAGAGAGAGGAGACAATAAACATTGTGACATATTGTATACAGGAATAAAAAGTGGGACGAGGTAGAGATTGGAGGGGCGCTAAATTTAGCCAGAGCCAAATCAGGTGCATACTGGCTTATCTTTAACACTACGGTCTGGGAGGAAGGCAGGACCCGGATTGTGGGGAGTATTACAAATCATGGGAATTTGGGGACTTTTAAGTGCAGTTGGAGCCCTGAGAGGCATCTGAGTGGGAGAGTGACATGATCTAATAGACGCTTTCAGAAGCCCATTCAGGCAGCTGCTGTTAGGAGAGGCTGGTCAACAAAATGGGTTTTAACTAAGGAGAAAGAGAGAGGGATGGATCCGTGATACAGGGTCCATGTGCCTCGTAGTGCAGATTCCATATTTGCAAATTCATCTGCCTGCGAAAATGTATCCATACTGGAAGGGCTGTCCTGAACATGTATAGACATGTACCGAGCAGTGAGGAATTTGCCTTTCACCTCACAAGGCTGGTTGGTTTTTGTTAATTCAGCGTATGCAGGGACTTTATAGAGAATACATTCAAAACACAACAAAGACAACTGCCCTCGAGGGACTCCTGACTCATAGGGACCCTGAGGGATGTAATAGAACTGCCCCTTTGGGTTTCCGAAGCTGTAAATTTCTATGGGAGCAGAAATTCTCATCTTTCTCCCCAAGAGTGACTGGTAGGCTAGAACTGCTGACCTTGTGATTAGCAACACAACACCCAACGAAAACACAGCCCCATTCCCCTGTTCCCCCTTGAGCAAACTCACTGACATAGATGCCGTCCTTGAAGTTGGGGACCCCTTACACTGCTGTCGTCCATTTGATCCCATGTTCCTCACCCCACTGCCGTCTAGTCAATTCATGGCGACCCCAGAGGGCAGGGTAGAACTGCCCCTGCAGGGTCCGGAAACTGCCACTCTTGACAGGAGTAGAAAGCCTCATTTTCCTCCAGCAGAGCAGTTGGCGGTTTCGAACTGTTGACCTCGCAGTTAGCCCAACGCTTAACCACTACGCCACCAGAGCTCCGTGTGCCATGTAGCTGTTTCTTAAGAGCGCCTCATGCTTGAGGCAGACATCTTCTCGGAGTTAAATCACTTCTGCCTGGTCTGAAGAAGACTTAGTAGTTTTAGTTTCAGGTTAAAAGATTCATCTCAGGGCAATAGTCCTTGCGGTTTGTCCAGGATCGATGGCTCTAGAAAGTCTGGATTCCAGGAGATTCTGGCATTCTGTGCCGTGTTTCCCTGCTGTGGTCAGAACCGAATGGGTCAGTGATGGTAGTCGGTCATCCAGTTCTTCGGGTCTCCTGGCACAGGGGGCAAATATTGGTCTTGGAAGTGAGAAGTCACACAGTACACATCGTCCTATTTCCAACTCTCCTCCGGCTTACGCCAGCAAGTTGACATCAATTGTTGTACCTTACATGGCTGCTTACAAGATAAGGTCGTGGCCACCATGCAAGGAACTAGGACGTCGTTTTGAGGGTTCATCCAGCCTCCGTAGCTCCGGGAAGTCTGGATGCCACTAGAATTTAAAATTCTGTTGTACACTCCCCCCCCTTTGATGAGGAGCCCTCTTTGGAAGGGGTGGCTCTTTTATAAGGGGGGGCTACTGGGGGAGCACTTAAAGGTCGCTATGCAGGTCCACAGGCTCCTTGTGTCCCCCCGCCCCTTCCAGGTCCTGGTGCCCGAGGATGAGCGCCCCAGGACACCCGCGAGTGACCTCATCGAGATCCAGGTGGTCAGAGTGATGGACACCACACTGGTCCCCGAGCCCCCGGAGCCGGGTTCCCTCCACTGTGCCTTGTGCCCAGCTGCCTTCCGGCTCGTCTCGGAGCTGCTGTTCCACGAACATGGCCACTTGGCTGGGGCTGAGGGTGGTGGGCAGGGGCCGAACCCCAGCCGCTGTCACGTGTGTGGCCACAGGTGCGCGGGGCCGGCCAGCCTGCGGGCCCACTACAGCCTGCACACCGGGGAACGGCCGTACCGCTGTCCGCTGTGCCCACACGCCTTCAAGGCCCTGGCGCCCCTCCTGCGGCACCAGCTGCAGCACCGGGTGGACACGGGGGAGCGGGGGCCGAGGCCCGGGCTGGCCCAGGAGAGGGCGGCGGCCTCGGCAGGTGCAGCCGTGGGGAAGCGGTTCGCATGCAGGTTCTGCGCCAAGCCCTTCCGCCGGTCCTCGGACATGCGCGACCACGAGCGGGTGCACACGGGCGAGCGGCCCTACCACTGCGGCGTGTGCGGCAAGGGCTTCACGCAGTCGTCCGTGCTGAGCGGCCACGCGCGCATCCACACGGGCGAGCGCCCCTTCCGCTGCGCGCTCTGCGACCGCACCTTCAACAACTCCTCCAACTTTCGCAAGCACCAGCGCACACACGGCCACGGGCCCGGGGTCTCCGGGGGGCCGCTGGCCGAGCGCTCAGGCCGTGCGTGTGGGCCAGGGGACACCGTGGAAGAGGGTCGCGGGGGCAAGGCGATGGTGAAAGTGGAGGTCAGGCCGTAGGCTGGGCAGAGAGGGGGTGCCTGGGGGGAATGGAGGTGAGGAGTGGGAGAGAGATGCCAAGGGAAGGGGGCTTGGGAGCACAGAGGGACAAGGACGGAAGGCCGTGGGTCAGGGACCCCTCCCCCTCAAACCCTGGCAGACACCTTTGGGAGACCTAGAGAGGTATGGTGGTAGCAGTCTGGCCACCCAGCGAACAAGGGGGCGCATGGGCTGGATTCCACACAGCTTGTCACCACAGTGTGTAGGTTGTCCCCCAGAGCTGAAGCAGCCACCGGGGAGGAGGAAGACATCAGGCTGGACTGGGATGGGGTGGGGGTGGGGGGTGTTCAGCTCTCCCTGGATTCAGAGTGGGTGCCCCTGAAGATAGGCCAGGACGGAATCCTTTGTCCACCTCATGGATTGTCCTGGACCTGGGGCGTCTACCTATGTCCAGTAAAAGATGCCCACGGAGCCTTCCTTGGAGAGATGCTGGGATCCCATCCCCCCTGGTGCCAGAGGGTCCCCAGGTCACAGCCCAGAGCCATCGGGCCCCCAGGGACGTCCACGCTTTACTCCAACAGTTCCTACACCCGTGGGGGAGTGTCCCTTCCTGCACCGCCACCCTGACTTCCTATTTGCAAGCAACTGACAAGGAGACCGATCACTGCTTGACATGCCCCTTCACGAGCATCGGGCTCAGAGCCCATGGCTGCCTAGTCTCCAGGTGCCCTTGGCCTTCTCCGATGCCCTCCATTCCCAGGTGTGAAGCAACCACACATTGCCTAGTCTTTGGGCAATGCCAGGCAAGGGTTGGCTGATGGCGGCATGGTGGGCCAGTTGGCACCAAAAGCCTAAGCATGGTGGGTATGGAGTAAGGGGGGCAGCTGAAGATGCGAGGGCAGCAAGGACCGAGCTGGGCTGGGATGCCACCAGCTCCCACCCTATTAAAGGACTTTTCAGAAGGGTTTGTTCTCTCAGTCATGTATGTGGCTTGTCGGCTTCCGGGGAGCCTGTGAGCTTGGGGCCCGCCCTGGGTGGGAGCATACGGCTCCCCAAACCTGTTTCCTCATCTCATCTCTGTCCTCGAAATGGAAGTCAAGACCGCAGGTTCCCTGCCTCTCCCTATGGAGGAAAAGAACAAGGAAAAAAAAAGCTGGAAAGTAGAAAATCAACTTCTTAAAAAATATGTAGGGAGTCCATTGGAGAATGGAGGTCTCAGGACAAATCACTTCCCCAACACCGGAGAGACAGGGTGCTAGGATAAGTTGACCAGATTTTAACATTGGTAAAGCGGGACACCATTGATAAAACTCATATCCTGGCAAAATAGCCAATGGCAGCCGAAAACCGTATACCCTAGCTTGTGCATTCTTTTTAAAAATCGGGACTTTTTTTAATGCCACGGGACGCAGGAAAAATTGTTAAAAATCAGGACTGTCCCACCAAAAGCGGGACATGTGGTCACCTTATACTAGGATCACACCACCACCACCACCAGAATGCTAGATCCTGTATCGGGCCGGGTCAGGTGCTTTCAACTCAGTGGCCCCTACAGATCAGCCAGGCCCTGCACCTGCTCACACCCTTGCTGCCTGAGCCCCTTGTGTCTACTACGGTGTCCATCCATCTTGAGTACCCACGCTGTCCGCCATGCCCGTCTCCCAGGAGGATGACAGAGTACTGCAGCCATGGCTGGAGGTAGTGCGCACGCACGAGCTTGAGAGATGAAAAACTCCTGGAGGCCCTGTCTGGGCAGTGAGCTGCCCTCTTGGGCTTTTGGCCTCCAGGACCCTGTGGGGGACCAGCCTCCTCACCACCGAATGGGCCCAAGGGGCAATTGTGTAACTGAGGGGTAAATTAAAGAGACATCCGAAAGTTAAAGTGTGCGAGCGCTCACCTTCTTCCATGATGACTGGAACCGGAATGAGACTGTCCTTAATGCTCTGACACATCATCTCAGGCAAGCACGCCACACGGTAAGCTCCTATGCAACAGGAAGGGGTTGTATTAAATGCATACATGTAACATGAGGGGGCAGGCTGGGGTAGACACACACAAGGAAGGGGTGCCGCTAGAGGCACTCGTGACTGGAGGGTGTGTGTGTAACAAGATGTACGGGCTCTAGAGTCAAGATGGCAGCCTAACCTTGGTTGTCTCTGACCTGGCTTGACCTTAGGTGTCTTTGAACTCTTCTCCAGGGGAATAGTCTATGGTCCTTTTCAGGAGGAAGTGAGTGGTACTTAGGGTTAGATGGTCTGACTGCTTTTGATGGCAGACAACCTTTAGGCAGATAGCCTTCAAGGCAGTTGACCTTCGAGAGTATAGTGAGCAACCATGTATTTGCAAACAGCACCTTCAGTTTGGCATTACTATGGGGGGGGGGCATCGAGGGGAATAACTTTCACTTAGGAGAATGTGAGTGGGACACATCTCCAACTTCTGAATATGAAGGTTCCCTCCACGGGAAGCCTGGCCTCTAGACTCCTTAATGAATGAATGTTCAGAGTTTGTCCACACTCTCTTCCAACTTTGTGTTTCCCACTCTTCCAACTTTGTGTTTCCCACAAGGACCCTCTATCAGGTTTCTCCTGGTCAAACTTCTAGAAAAAGAAGAAAAATGCCGTGCTTCCAGAAGGGGGTGGGGCCAGGCACAAGAGTTGTACAGTCTCTGGCTGGTCAGAGACATTCTGTGGTTCAGAGGTACCATGAGTAGTAGCCAGAAGGTGGGCATGTCAAGCCCAGCTGGAGGGGTCTTGGGGAAAATGGCCTGAGGATCTACTT